TAAAATATAATAACATGTGTTGTGTTGAAAAAAAGGGGAGAAGCCCAAGATTGATTAGTTTCACCACTGAATTCTATCAAGCTTTTAAGGAATATCAAATACAAACACTTCTCAAACTGTTTCACAATATAAAAAGGGAAGAAACACTAACAAATTCATTCTATGAAGCCACTATGATCTTTCTATCAAAATTGGATAAACACGTTACCCAAAAGGCAAACTACAGACAATTTTCCCTGATGAACACTGAATACATATACAAAACTTCCCAACAAAATAGTTGCAAACCAAATTCAAGGTCACATTAAGAGGATCATATGTCATAAACAAGTTGGTTTCACCCCAGGGATGCAAGGTTGGTTCAGTATATGCAAATAAGGAAATGTTATATACCATATTAATATATTTAAGAGCATAAATCACATGATCATCTCAGTAGAAGCAGAAAAGGCATTTGACAAAATTTAACATGCTTTCATGATAAAAGTACTTAAGAAACCAGAAAGCAATGGAACATGCTCAAATAATAAAAGGTATTTAAGGCAAACCTATATCCAACATTATATTAAGTGAGAAAAAATTGAGAGCATTTCTTCTAAAAATTATAACAAGGTAAAGGTGCCCACCTTCTCTATTTGTAATCAAGATAGTGCTTGAAGTCTTAGCTACAGCAATAAGAAAAAGATATAGAAGGGCTAGAAATTGAAAGAAAGAAGCTGTTACCCCTATTTGTAGATGATTTCTATACTTAAAAGACCCCATAGACCCTACCAGAAAATGTTAATCTTATAAATACTTTCAGTACATTTGCAGAATAAAAAAATACAGCATATAAAAATTAGTAGCTTTTACGTGTCAATAGCAAATTTTCTGAGAAAAAAAATTAGGAAAAATATCCCATTCACAATAGTTTAAAAAATGACCAGAAAAAATTAACCAAGGAGGTGAAAGACTGCTACAAGGAAAACTTTAACACACTGAAATATAAATTTAGGAATACAGCAGTTGCACTTGCATACCCTCCTGCACCAGTAGTGATCTCCTGGGCCTGGGCCCCATGCTGGTGACACCAGGATCTGGGACATAGGTCTTGGCCACTTCTCTTGGGGTATAGTCTGGGTATTGGGCATGTCTAGTAGGCAGCTGCAAGCACCCCACAGAGTGGTGCCCCGGGATATCTCTCTTGCTAGGGCCTGGACCTGTGGGTGACCACTGAGCCACACACTCATGTTTGGCCAGACATCATCACCCAGGTGATCAACCCTAAGGAGGATGAGGGCTGATCACTGGGCTCAGGTGAGAAAGGACTTGGGAAGTAAGAAAGAAAATTGCTGAAGAGACAAGGTGGTGGTGGTAGCCACTCTTGATAAAACAGGATTCTGATAAGATGTTTCATCACTGGCTCCTCCTGGCCACGGAAGAAATTGTTAAGGCAGCAGACACCTGAAAAGCCAACTGGAGTTTTGACCATGAAAAAAAGAAAAATGAAAAGAAAAACAAAAACAAAAACAGAAAATCACCCCACAAGATCCATCTGTCTCTTTTAGCAAAAGCTTAAGATGGTTTCTACAATATTAATCTACCTATAACAAGAAATTCAAGCCAACAAGTAACTGTTGCCTCTGTTTGCTGTGTAGAATCCAAAATGCCATTTATTAAGACAGGATCTCCCTGTAGCCCCAGCTGGCCTGGAACTCGCTATGTCGACCAGGCTAGCCTTGAACTCACAGAGATCTGCCTGCCTTTGCTTCCCGAGTGCTGGGATTAAAGGTTCTATCTTAAACACAAGTATAACCATGTGGGCAGTGATGGAGACAGGAAAATGGTCGGAGCCAGCGTTATTGAAATTGTGACCCCTCCCATGAGCCTGGAACTGTGTTCCTCTCCCATGACCCAGAAGCTGTATTCCCCTCCCAGGATTCAGGAGCTGTGGTCTTGTCCTGTGAACCTGGAGCTCTGTTCCCCTTTGTGACCTGGGGTTGTGATCCCCTCTCATGAACCTGGAGCTCTCATCCCCTCTCATGTGCTGGAGCTGTGGTCCCTTCCTGTGAGCTGGAGAGGTGGTCCCCTCCTGTGAGCAGAGCTATGGTTCCCTTTTGTGAGCTAGAGCTATTTTCTAAGGGTCAATTCATTTAAAATACTCAAATTATAAGGTACATGTTCTCTGATTATAACAGAAATAAAAGTATAAATACATGACAGAAATTCATCTGTGAATTTTCTAAATATTTATTTTAAATAACTCGCAGTGAAAAAAAGTTGTTTTAGCCAGGTTTGGTGGCACATGCCTTTAATCCCAGCATTCTAGAGACAGAGGCAGGAGGATCTCTATGAGATAAAGGCCAGCCTTGTCCACATAGCAAGTTCCAAGCCAGCTGGGGCTACAGGGAGATCATGTCTCAAAAAAAAAAAGGTTGTTTGAAAATATTTTGATTTGGCTAAAATTGAAATGAAATATATACCTAGAGTACTGTATATTTATATTGGAGATTTACAGATTAAAAGTTTACTTTGGAAAAGAAAAGACATCTATTCAAGTTTCAGAGGGATCTAGTGCACTCTTCTAGCCTCACAGGCATTAATAACAACATATTCCCACATACATATATTCAGGTATTTACATATATACATAAAATAAAAATAAATCTTTTTAAACAGTAGAAATAGAGATGATCAATGGCATTAAAAAGTCGCTTTATTGAACAACAGTCAAATCCCAAACACTTGACTTTTTCAAAGTCATACTCATTTCTTGGGGTAATTCCCTTTTGCGGGAGGGGTTTTGGGACAGGGTCTCCCTGCTGTAGCCCCAGCTGGCCTGGAACTCACTCTGTAGACCAGGCTGGCATGGAACTCATAGAGATCTGCCTGCCTCTGCCTCCAGAGTACTGGGATTAAAGACATGCACTACCATGTCCATGTCTTTGGGGCTAGTTCTTAAAGAATTATGTTGAGTTTTTGAGTTTATAAGGATCTAGCCATCTTATATCAGTCTATAGCAACTCTGCAGAGCCATCCCAACTCCATAATGGCTGAGGTCCAGTGCTGTGAATTAACACACTGCTCAATCTTGCTTCTTCCAACCTCCTAAAGGTTCCCATTTCACGTCTGTAAAATAACCTTTTGATAATTTTATAATAAAGATTCAATTTTAGTCCATTCTCCCAAAGGCATGGGGTTCTGAAATATTCTGGGGAATTTGGTTTTCCTTTGGTTTAATAGTTAGTTCTGCTCTGTTTCAAGAGGTATGAAAATTACATTGTCTTGGAGAGATGATTGCTATTCCACCAGTTAAAGCATGATAGTGGTTGACTTTCTGTTTGTTTCTCAAAAGATGTTTGTAGACTTGTAATATAAATTAACATTGCTAATTTCAGGACTATCCAAATGATTTTGTGTAACTGAAGCAAGACACACAGGAATATAAAATTCAGTATACAAAATAAATACAGTAAATTTTAATGGTCTTTAGTATATAAAATTCTACATTAACTATGTGACATATTGTTATGCAAGAGTCTTACAATCTTGCTGAGTAGAGTTGTTTCCATAAACTCACTTTTAGTAGTACATTTAAGACAACTCATACTCAAATGAGCTCAGTTTTAAAGCAAACCTCAACTCTGTATTGTTGTCTATTAAATGTTAAATCCACTAGGTGGAGGCATTTGCTCAGTTTTGTGGTTCACACTAAGTCGCAATAAGGAAATTCTATTAAACAGATTGTCTCAAATGAGGCCAGTAGCCTTGGGTCTGCTAAGCCCTGGACCTTTACCTTGTAATATCTGGCAAGTACATGCATAGTGTTCCATGGCATTTAGAATTTGCTTTGCATAACAAAGTAACAGTCCATAACTAAATTGTCAGCTGGGCAGAACAGATGGTTAATCCAGCATTTTACCTGTTCTTAATTAATTATTAGTTCCTGCATCCATTACTGATGTGTTTATTAAAGGTCTACACTAAAAAGATGCTGTTTTCGGGGCTGGAGAGATGGATCAGCAATTAAGAGCACTGACTGCTCTTGCAGAGGACCCGGGTTCGATTCCCAGCACCTACATGGCTGCTACGAACCTTCCTTAACTCCAGTTCCAGATGAATCCGAAGTTTACTCCAGTTCCAAGGGAATCCAAAGCTCTCTTCTGACCTCTGCAGCATTCCATGACACAGATGCACTCACATACATGCAGGCAATACATTCATACACATAAAATAAAAATAATAAAATAAAATATAAGAAAAAGTCTTTTTTTAAAAGCTGTTTTCATTATATTTAACATATTTTGCATATTAATCAACATGATTACTATTAACATATACATATTATAACAGTTTGTATTCATAACAATGCAAAGTGATACCTTTTAAACCATGGGAAAATATAGATATTATAATTTGAGTATGCCATACAAATAACAAAATTGATGATACAATTCTTAAAGTAGCCTAAAATACTGTGGAAAGTTTTTGCCAACTTCAAGCTTTTTGTGGTTCTCTTCTTGGGTGTCTGTTTCTCTGTTCTTATTGGTCCCATCATTATACGGAAACAATATCTTTTTAGCTAAGTAGGAAATTCATCTGTTCCTCTTTAGTTGTATTTGAAGTTATACTATTCTGTGTCATCAGTTAATTAAGTTCAAGAACGAAAGTCAGAAACTCTCTGAAAGCAGCCCAGTTCTCTGTGTGTGCAATTGATTTTCCAAAGCTTGTCTTTATGAGAACTATTGTCTCTAATTATATTGTCTTAAAGATACACTATTGTCTACCACTGTTAGCATAAATTGTTTCAAAATACAACAGACTTTTGTCTTCTACTGCCTTGGAGAAAATTTGGTGGTTTATATTATTTTTCTTTTCATTTTATATCTATGGTAAAAGAGAGGGCCAATATGTCTAATTGTATTGTCAGAAAGCTAGTTTTACATATGTAATAGCTCTTGTCTCATTTTAATTTAAACAACTATTTTGTATGCATTCACCCACTTTTTTTTTTTCCTTAGGATGAAAGCCTGGCTCGCCAGTTGGTGGAGCTAGGTTACCGAAGGACTGGAGAGATTGTGAAAAGGGAAGATTTTGAAGCAAGGAAGGCAGCTATAGAAATTGCAAAACAGGCTGAAAGAACTCAGAAAAAGTAAGTGTTCATGTTCCAAATTCAGATTTGATATTTTAGCGTATCTGGAAACACCCACGTTTTCTTGAGTATTGTAATTTAGACATGTTGCTTAGAGCAGGTAAGACTTGAAACACCCTAAACCTATACCCACAGATCAGGGACGGAAGGGACTGTAATATACTTGCAGTAAGGCAAGATGCAAATTTGAGCTGCTAATTTAAGAAATATAAATTCCAAAATATGCTCATTATATCAATAAAGTACTGTTAAAAAGTAACTCAGTAGGTTTTATGCATTTATATACTAAAAGTATGTGACATTTGCCTTAACAATCTTTGTACTTTTGAGGCATGTAAATTTTGGCATTGCTTACATTCTTGAACTTAGTAAACATTGATTCAAGTAGCTACAACAATAATTACTAGCATTTGTCACTATACCTACTGTAAAGAAATATAAATTTGCCTCAAATTAAATATAATGATAGGTAATAGAGTGACTGGGAAGATAGCTCAGTCAGAAAAGTCCTTGCTAGGCAAGCATAAAGATCTGAATTTGATCCCTAGAACCTACATAAAAATTTTGGCATGGTGGTTTGTGATTGTAATCTCTGTGTTGGGCCAAAGGAGACCTGTGACTCCTTGGTCTCCCTAGCCAGCCAGTTTATCCAAGCCCTAAGTTCCAGAACAGTGATAGACCCTGTCTTATAAAACAAAGTGGAGAGCAACTGAGAATCAACACTTGAGATTTCCCCCATTCTCCACATGTCCATGCTTAGACATACTTGTGTACTAGCATACACATAAACACAAATACATACATACATACATACACACACACACACACACGAGATAAGTAATAAAAAATACATTTTTCTAAGGTGAATTGCACTAAACCAGTAACGTAGTTTCAAAAAGACTTGAGAAAAGAATCATCTATTTAATTTAAAAAGTCATTAAATTATAAATGTTCGAAGTGATAACTATTTAGAAATCACTGCATTCTTTTAGATAATATATATTTTAAAAGCTCACTAATTATCACTAGAAATTTCCTATGTAGTCACTATAACCAATAATGTATTGGAGTAGGAAGTAAATGTGCCCTGGGAAGGTGCAATTTTAAGTTTCCATTCTAGTGATTATTCTGTTTCAGGACCACAAAATCCTCTATTTTAAACATATGGATATTTGGTAATATGTGCTTCCTAGTGTAGTCATAATGTACAACCACAAGAAGATTAAACACAAATTTATTTAATAGTTTTCTATTACAAACAGTGTGACAGTCCTTTGCTTAGTACATCTCAAGATTGAAATCTGACATTGACTGGACTCAGTTCTTGTCTAGAGGTTCTGAGGTTGAATTTCACTCAGTCAGGTTGCAGGTCCATTTCAGTTTTTTGAGATTTTTGGATTGTGGTCCACTTTTCTTTATCAGCTGTTGTTTGGGAGCTGGTTTTTGTTTGTAGAAGTTATTCATGTATATGACTTTTCGTGCTTTTCATGTGCTGTCCTCCTCCAACAACAATGGGTTATGACCTCATCTTTCAGATCTTTCCAACATCCCCATCTGTGATATCTTTCTTCATCTAGGAAGAGAAAGATCTCACCTTTGAGGACTCATGTGATGACAGTGGGCCTGTGTAGGCAATCTAGGATCCTGCCCCTATTTCAGTAAGGTCCCTTTTGATATGTAATGTAAAAAAAATATCTTGGCAATAACGAAGGGACATCCTTGGAGGGACATTCTACCAAACATAGGTCATTTATATAAATACTCAGTAACACATAGTTTTTCACTCCAACTTCTATTCTTAAAGGTTGAAACACTGTAAGTTGTATATATAGAAGTCTATGCCTCTTATATAACATGTCAGAGTTCAGAGCCCCCCCCCTTTTTTTTTCTTGCTTTTTTTTTTTTTTTTTTCATTTTTTCCTTGAAAAATGATAGCCAGGCATGGTGGTACACGCCTTCTATGTAGACCAGGCTGGCCTTGAACTCACAGAGATCCGCCTGCCTCTGCCTCCCAAGTGCTAGGACTACAGGCATGCGCCACCACGCCCAACTCAGAGTTCCCTTTTTATGTGAAAATCAACAAATGTCCTCAGAAACAGAAGGAATGATTCTTGTGAGCTACTAACAAGGAACTTATTTACATTTATATATCGTTTTATAAGAGATATAAACTATTTCATATTGAGAGGAGTTGGTCATGTTTAAAGGATAAGTTCTGTTTGTGTCACATGTCCACTCTGTGTTTGAGGATCAAAGTGGATTTTTCTGTGATGGTTTCTTTAACTGTCCAGAGCTGGAAGTCATCAGACTTACTTAAGTGCCAGTCTGGGGAGGCTGATCCCCACCCAGAGCTTCTAGGAAAGGAAGACTCTTTCATCTGCTGATCTTCTCTGGTTGCCTTTGCAATGGGATGTGTCCCATATGTTGCCTTTTGTCCCATGTGGGAGTCGCTATGCTTTTTTTCTCTGAAAGTCAATTTTATGTTTTTGACATAAGGGCCAGCAGAGGGTGCCCTAGAGCCGAGAATATTTGCTTAAGGTAAGTTGGACATATGCTTGAGTTTCTAACTGACTGCTAACCGGTACCAACTCAGAAATACTTGATGTCATCTACTTTGAGCTATCTTAGAGTCACTTCTCTAACCTGCTAATGAGAAGCTCCAAGTATATCATATTCCTCTGGTTTAGCAATTGTCAAGCACCTATTTGTAAAGGTGTTGGAGTGTATTATTACAATAGCTTTTTCATAAGAAAAAGATTCTCGAGAGATGGAAAGTAAATAAAATGGGAAGGGATAGTTTGATGAGGGAAATTACAGTACAAGAAAAATATTGAAAAAAATTTTTTGAGTTTTTAATCGTGTACAAATAATATTCAGAGATGACCATATGCATTAGGTTCTGGGAATACAATAGAACATGACTTGATTCCTACTCTCAAGAAGTTTGGTTGATGTATAAATAAAATTACATCATTGGTGAGAATGGAGAATGGAAAATGGAAGTAGACAGACAAGTAGATTCATAGTTGCAATGGCTAGAATGAAGAAGAGTGGCTGCTAATAGATGTAAACTGGAAATTGGCAAAGTGGGGCTGGAGAGATGGCTCAGCAGGTAAGAGTGCATGTAGCTCTTGCAGAGGACCTGGGTTAAGTTCCCAGCACTCATGTTGGGGAGGCTCATAACTGCCTGTAACTGCAGCTCCAGGGATCTGATGCCCTCTTCTGGCTTCTGCAAGCAACTGTACTCATGTGCACAAACTTACACACAGTCACACACATACACATAACTTTAAAAATAACTAAAAAAATTGACAATGCTTAGTATTATTTTGTAAATACATTAAAATCTACTGAATCATGTGCCTCAAAACTGTACATCTTTATAGTCTTTTCAAATATCAATAAAAAGATAATCAATAAACTATGATAAATTCAATAATAGGGATTGTGGTAATACATTGAAGTAGTATAAATCAAGATTTGGGGAAGGGCTATGAAGAAGAGGGAAAGCCCTTAAGACTCGACTAGGAAATTTATTCTTGGAGGATGAGTAAGAGCTCCTGAGGCAAAGACAGGTGTGAAATGGACACATCCAATTAGCTTCACTTCATAATAAACTCTCCTTTCAAATCATTTCTATTTCACAGCCATGTAAGTATTGTTCATTTCTTTTTCACTGAAATTCACACCAATTGGTTATAGTAGCCACATAGCTGCAGATATATGATTTTGGTTGGATGGGAAAGATGTTTATCTGATGCCACTCCCCCCAACCTACTTTATTCTCACTCTTCCAGGTCCCCACCATGGTTTTTAAATGAGGGATCTCTCTGTGTGTACTCTAGAGAACTTCCACTTGTATTGAGACGTTCTGGGGTGATGGAGACATAGAACTTAACTGTTTGTGACACAAGCTGAATATTGGGTTTTTGCAGTTTGGTTTCTAGTTATAGTTGAATTGTCTTCAAGGTTAGGCCATTTCTTGGTTGAAATCACAAGATCATCAGCTTCCTCACTTTGAGTCAGCTTATCTAACAAGAAACTAATATATCCTTCTTAGGTAATTCTAGGGAAATGATCTTATTTTGTTGAAGTACAGCAGCTGAAACATAGACAGTAGTAATGCGTGTAGATCTGATGCAGCCTTAATTGTACTGGATTAGCTGTTGCCATTTTCTTAGAAAATTTTGTGATGAGTTTTTGGAATTCCTGTAAGGAGTTACCTGATAGGGGTCTCTGATGCTAAATGTATAGGGATCTCAATGGTATTTTTGTGGTTGATGCAAAGGGTCTTGGTGATGACTTTAGGGAAATGGTCATGTGCCCTTTATTCATGGGATTCTATTAAAAGTAAAAGCTAGACCATCCAGTCCTCAGGCATTCTGATTCTAGTCACTCTAAGCAACTTATCATGCTTTTACTTCTGTTATGATTTATACTTGTTTCATTTAATTTGTTTTTAATGATAGAAAATGACAATACTTGCTAATTGGCAACATATTCTGTTAATATTATGGTAATGAAGTTGGGTTAAAAAGCTAAAATTTTTCATGTAATATGTCTTACTCCCTTTTAAGTATGCTATATTTGCAGTAAGTTTAATAATTAAAAGTGACACATACTTAAGAATTAAATGAGAGAATGCATATGAATTTTAACTATTCTGTGAAATAATGCCAATTTTTGGCCTACTTTTAAGTATCATACTTTTAAAAAGTTAATCTCATAGGTTTTACAGCCTTTAAACATTAACCATGAAGTTGCATTTTTTGGCAGATTAGCATCTCTAGGAAGCAGGTAACAGAAGGTAGGAGAGCACAGGCTTCTCTGGGGAAAAGACACTGTTGAAAGATAAAGTGAGACAATGGACAGTACAGGGCCAGAACCTCAATACTAGACCACAGACTCTCCCAGGAAAATGGGGAGCTCTGGAGTATAAGCTGCATTTAAAAGCTTCCTGCATGCACTATATCAGTTTGGCCTCAGTACCCCTCAGTTGC